AATCAAACACAGTGGCACCCCGCCTACCTCTTTCCATTTTGGAAACGCTCCCTTATATACAATTACTTCTATATATGACATGAATAACCAATTGGAAGCTCAACATGCAAAAAGAAAAAAAAAAGGCATGATAAAAACATTGCTTTATAAACCTTAAGACTTTATAAAAAAATTTGATATTTAGCTTATGAAAGTAATGTAGTGTTTACTGATAATCTGCCAAATTTTGTTAACATTCGCTAACTAATTTAAAAGTTATAGCATGAATGGTTATGAGGTTGGTCCCAGGGACTGAAAGAGTTATATCCTATCCTTTCTTTAAGGTTACTTTCATTAACAGTATTAGTTATATATTTACTACACATAATTTTCATTTTTATTATCACAAAGATAATTTTACATTGTTAGTTTAGTTTATGAACATAAGATTAACCTAATCTGCTAAATTGGCCAAGCCAAGTATAATTATTACCAAATACAGACACAGCATTTATTAGAATATTTAACTTATACTTTTATTTTTCATCATTTCTAATTCATTATTTTATTATAATGCTTATTCTGCACTGTTAACCTAAGCCTCCTGAACTGGCTAGACCTTGAGATATTACTGGGTTTAGGGCAGAAGATACCGTTAACAGTGAGAATATGTAACTGATGAAATAATGCATTCTAATGATTATATGCAATACAGTTTGAATATTACATTTAATTAACTATGCTCATTATTAGGTACACATTTTTAATTCTGATTTAAGGAGATAGCTTACTTTGATAAAACATTTATTTACATCTATAAAGTACATTCACATTACAAAATTAGAGCAATATTAAGATAAGCTCTACTGATTTTTTTAACAGTATATAGCAATATCACTGACATCAAACTTTGAAATGTTATATTTTATCTGATTGGATTATTGTATATATCTACATAATCATGAATGATGTTATCAATGACAATATTAAGAAAGCCAATGTATTTAAAACATCTTAATGTTTTAAAATTATTTTTGTAAATATCATTATATGTACTTTTTTATTCTCTAATTTTGATTGCTTTTGAAATTAATTCTTTTTTGAGTAAATCTTGGATATAACTTTCAAAATAAAAATATAAAACAATAATTGTATCTTTGTAATACACCTTATACTCAAACTTGCTACCATTGTTATAAGTAAACATATCTATAAAAAGCAGGATGACGCTAATGTTAATTATTATGATAATTCAAGAACTGGTTGAGACGTTCAGAATCCTAAAAGATAACAAAAGCATCATCATCAACATACAAACAATAGTATAAAGACTTGAAACTCAAACGACATCCTTTCAACCACTGTTTCTCAGGAAAGCAGAAGAAAAGCTTTGCAAGTGACAATCACAACCTTTTCCCTATGATACACCATCAAGACATTAGTCATAAACAACATTGTTCAATGGAAAACATGATTACTTTGAAGCAAGTGTTTGTAGTTTTTATTAGTTTTTGAATTACATACTTATGATATTGAAGTTCTAACCAGTATATTAAAATACGTGCATAAAATTTTTAGTTCTATATAGGTAACTCCTTTGACTACTTTTGATAACTGTCATATACAGGCAAACATTCATTATTGGTGGAAAATGATTATAAGTGACCACACTCACCAGGTCTTGTAATCAATAATTACAAACTTAATATATTTTAAAGTGGGATAAATCCAACCAAGAGTTTTATACTTGGTTTTTATAAGACAAATTTCTAGAAATTAGAATAAGACCCATCAGACTGTGTATTTTGTTATTGTACAATAAATACCCACCAGTTCTTGAATTGGTTATCACAAAGTAATTATTTCTGAAAATGAGATGAGACCACCAGGTCTTGTGTTTTATTATTACAAGATATTTTTAAAATAAGGTAAAAGACAAACAGGTTAAAAAAAAATTGGTATGTTACAAAAAGCAAATTTATGAATTTCTTTGATGTGTAAAATAACAAAAAGAAAAAAGACAAAGATTAGACATAAAAAAAAAAATATAGAACCACTATCAACTCTTAATGAATCAACTAACTTTAAAAATTATCATAAACTTGCCTCAATGAACTACCATAAATCTAATACTTTGAAATATATTAAAACTTTCTTTAATACAGACCTAACTTGAAAAATCACTGGAAACTTTCCTTGAATAATCAGCACAGGTGTAATATTAGAAAACAATACTATTTAGGGAAATAAAAGTTTATACAATATAATACTAAAATATATAAAAATAGGACAAAACAAAGTATGAATAAATTTTAACTTGAAGAATACAGTTTGTACAGGAATAAAAATATCTAAATAACTTCCATTTGAAGACTACAGTTCATACTAGAATAAAACATCTATACAAAACCTTCTATCTCAAGGATAAAAAGTGTAATGGAATAAAAACACCTGAACAAACCTTCCATTTACAGAATACAGTCTTTACCAAAAAAATTAAAAAATTACAAATCTACTTGAAGAATATAGTTTGTACCACGATAAAGATGTGTGAACAAACCTTCCACTTGAAGAATACAGTGTTTGTGCAGAAATAAAGAAACTTGAACAAACCTTCCACTTGAAGAATACAGTGTTTGTGCAGAAATAAAGAAACTTGAACAAACCTTCTACTTGAAGAATAGTCTGTACTAGAATAAAAGAATGTGAATAAACTTTTCACATGAACATACCTTCCACTTGAAAAATACACTCTGTACTGGAAGACAAGCATGATGAATGTGATTTTTATCCTCCTGCACAACTTTGGCTGCATTCAAAAGATGGTCTACTTGATTCCTAGAAAAGGAAAATTAAGAAGTTATAAGCTTAATAATGCAAAATAAAGCTGGCAGTTTTAAATTATCTATACAATACTCAATAGAGGTGCTTAAGCATGCTTAAGGAAATGAAAAGTAGTTCTTATGCATACATTAAACTCTTGGCTATACAATATACAGAAAAAATTCATTATTAATGAGAATTTTGTCATATTCAAAAACAAATAATTATTACAAAAGCAATTTTGACAATTATGATTAAAGCTTTTTACTGTAATAATGATTTTTACTTGAGTAATGTATATATGGACAACAGAGCATAGTATAAAACTGTGTTTGGTAATGATAAATTTATTACAAATTGAAAAAAAAAAACAATCCAGAGAGAGATTAATCTATTTCTAAACCCAAAGAATAATTTTACAGAAAACAGAATAACAAACTGAGAAGCAGTAACAAGAAAAGAGTAGAGAATACTTTGTTAAAACAAACTATACATACACTATAGTATACCACATAATGATGGAATAGCTTGCACGTAATGACTTTTAGTATGCAATCAAAATCATGACTGCATTTTCTCTTTCATATACATATTTTAGCCTTTCTTTGTATTTTCATTTATCATATGTAAAATATCTGCGGACATATTAAGCATAAAATATTAATAAAAAACTTTTTATTTAATTTAATCCACAAAAACTTCATTCTTTATATCAAAATTTTTTTTTCATTGACTGTTTGGCAATTTTTTAATCTTGTAACATTTAGATCTTTAAACAAACAGTCTACTAAGTTTCCACTTATTTGTTTGTGACAGCATCCAAATTTTTATAGTTTTAATTGATTGTGACTCCATTTACCTGAGACATACAAGTGCATTAACTGATTCAGAAAGATCTCTTCTCTGAGCCAACACCAGCATCAGGAGGTGACCTACAAACCCACGGCACCTATCTATAATCCCAACAGTGAGCTCCTAAAAAACAACAAATTTAAAATTAATTACTGTGACAACAAATTATCACAAATTCAGTGTAGTTGCTTACTAAAAATAAGTCATGCATTTAATGGTTCATAAGTTACTTAATTTCTCAAAATACAAAATCTAGCCAGTCCATTCAATTAAAAGAATACTTTAAAAAAAAGATAACATCATTGAGCTGTATAATTATGTTACACTGGCTTTTATATGGAGCATCTGAAAAACAACGTGTTTTCCATAAGTAGTAAAACATACTAAGGAAAAGAACACCAAAGTTATGTGTGACTCATAAATTCAAAACACATCTATAGGTTTTTACTGGCATATAACTTAACAAAAATAAAAACTAGGAAAAAAGAAGGTGAATTTTAAATAGGAAAAACTCCTATAATTTATTAGAAAAATTTGAACATAAAGGTTTCACCTTTGAAGGATGCTGAATTGCAACTAGAAAAACAGCTAACTGAGAAATGGAAGAGTAGAAGTAATGATGGGAACCACTCCAAGTGTCAAGAATTGTATAATCACAAGTCTTCCTTAAAAGATAAATAATGAAAGCAACATCTTTTGTTAGGAATGTAAACTAAGAGATCAATGGCACTTAATGTTGCAAATATTTCTCATGAATAACGTACATTACAGAAAATTTATGGTTCAAGCAGTTGTTTTCACTTTAATATATATACACAATCATTATAAAATTCTAAAACATATCACCTGGAGCAAAATGTTTTATTTGTTCAATAATAACATGTTGAATTCATGTTGCAAATTATTTACAAATTTTATTACTAAATATACTTCTTAAATATGAAAATTATTTTTCCTACAGGTGCAAAAAATATTTGTATTACACACTTCTGCATATCATAATTCACAAGAAATAGCAAAATGGTAAGCTGTAAAAATGATACACATACTAAATTTAAGCTAATTTCATTCTTTGTAATTTCATAATATTAATCATACTTCTTGAATTTAGCTCTTTATCTTCATCTTATTGCAATTTAATGTTTGTGGAAAATTGCTAACCCAGAACATACTAAGAAATTTACCTTTCATGAACTATATTTTCAAAACTAGCTTCAACATCAATGAAGGTGTTCATCATCAAATCACTGATGCTAAAATCTTTACAAAACGTGGAACCTTTCCTGAATGAGAGACCTATGAAAACCAAAACATTATTAAAATAGATAGAACCTCATGCTAGAAAACACACACACTACAATCATACTTCCAATGAGATATTCTATAACTTAAAAAGCAGCAAATGACAAGAACCCCACAATTCTATTCTATATTGAAGCTTGAGAAATAAAGAACTTCCATATGTTATGAAAATGTAACCTTAAACGTTTTGATGAAAAAAACAACTTCCATATGTTATGAAAATGTAACCTTAAACGTTTTGATGAAAAAAACAACTTCCATATGTTATGAAAATGTAACCTTAAACGTTTTGATGAAAAAAACAATGCCGATTTCAAGCTTCAGTTTACGCCAACAATAAAATAAAATGTATAAAATGAACAAAAAGGCAAAAGGTACAAGGTGGAAAAAGAAGATCCAAAAAGTACTTAATATGTAAGAAATCTTTTGTAAGTTATCATTTCCTATCTCTCCCAGAAAATGGCTCTTTAATTACACTCAATCAAATGTACGCATTTCTATAAGCCAGAGATAATTCAAATCTAAATGAGAAAAAATATTGATAGTCTAACAAATTTGAATTTGTTTTCCTAGCAGCTAATCTGCACAAACATTTGTAACTTCTTCTTTATATAAAATCAAAATCAATACAAGATTGGTCAGTTTCATTCTCCATCAAATTTTTTGAACAACTTTACAAGCATTTTACAAATTATCATTTTCATATTAGCATTTTACTAAGTTAAAAGAAAAATTTTACCAATCAGAGTTAGAGATTTGAATAAGTCACTCAAAGCTTTACGTTTCCTCTGGTGAATGTGATGGGCCTTGGATTTCCATTTTTCTTTATCTTTATCCTGAAAAAAAAACAACAAAAAACAAGTTTCAATACCAATTGTGAGCACAGCAGATAGCCCATTATATAGTTTTGTGCTTAAATACAAACAAAACAAAAAACAACACAAAATCTTTAATTTTAAATAATATGCTTTTTTCATAGATATAATTTAATGAATGGATGAATTGTAATAGAATTATAAGGTACATTTAATACAACAATTAAGTAGACTGAAAGTTATTAATAATTTAGGAACTGATTAACTCTCTTGATATGAGTTCTGTAATTTTAACCAAATTTGTGACTATCAGAATTTCCATGTCATAACTTTTAAGAGATTTTGTGTTTCTTCACAAAATTTGGCAAGTTTTCAGTAAACATTACCAGTCTTTTCTTACACAAAAATCAAATTTTTAAATGAAGTATATTTACTAACAATTTGTCTGTGAATACCTGGAGTCAGAGTGTTGACTGCTTTGAGTGAAAAGTGATTTTCATGTTATGATTAAAAATATTTTTCTTCATTTGAAAATTGTCAAATTTCATTTGCATAATCTATAAAAACCTACTAAATAAATATCAAACATTTTAAAATTAAAATTTTATATTTTATCTGTTATTTTCTCTACCCTAACATTATATTCATTTGGTCAATTTGACCAATCTTATAACCACCATAAGAAAATACTAAATAAATCTAAATTACCCTCGTCTTTTCAAAATGACTAAGTTTTGATATGAAACTACAATTGTTTATGCTAAATAGCTTAAAGCTCATAACAGTATACATAGGTTTATACTTAATTTTATTGCTGCTTGAACTATGTCTAACTAATAATCCCATCATAAAAGTTGTAAATCCATCAACAAATGTGCAACTCGCATTACCATATCAAATTATGCAATGCATGAACTGCTCACAACCATACTTAGTGAAGAATTTTCATTATAATTATTATTTTTCATTAGCTTACCTAATTTAACCTTATCTAACATGATAAGTTTATAATTTTTACATTGTAATTACTTTTACAATAATAAATAAAGAATACACTGGATCTTTTTGTTTTTTGTCATCAACTGTCAATGAAACTTAAACCTACTTTTTTACACTAATGGTACTATTACATTAAATAATTTTTATTTGATTAAATACTGCACTTAAGAACATAGGATAATAAAATTCAAAAAGCAAATAATGTAATATAACTATCATAATTTTCCTGGCTTTCTAACTATGCAATAAGAGTTTTTATAAATTTAACTAAACTTGCTGATGTGAATACAATAAGTAAAAACTTTTGAACTGGAGGTAAAATAGACAATTCTCTGTACAGAAAACAACAACATATGTATCGTTTGACAGAGTAAAACTTTGGCTTTTTGTTGGTTATAAATAATATAGTATAAAACGTCAGAGAAAACAATTAGCAATTTGTGTGTGTGTGAGAGAGAGAGAGGATGTGACAGGTGAATGTGGCAAGTAGGTCTCATTTTCTAGTTTATGGCTTGGTAAACAAATAAGATTGAAGGCTATAAAAATCATGCTTTGCCTTCATAATATCTATATTATAATGAGTAATATATGTTAAATTATGTACTTATTGGAGGGGTGGTAAATAAATAAGAGAAGAAGGAAAACCTAAAGATCAAATGTCACAATTCTCATACTAAGGAAGATTGATGATTTTGATAAAAGTTTTCCTTATAAAACTAAGAGCTTAAAACTTTGACCACAGCTGCTTTAAACATACATGGAACTTTTGCAAGCCATACACTGCATACAGCACACTTGCATTCAACTGCTGGAGTCAGACTGTACCCTACCCTATACAGTGAATAAGCAGTCAATGGGTTAATATCTAAATGTTAATAAATTAATTAATGTTATTTTGACTCAAATTATATTGAAATTTATTAACCAAACAGTAAAAAACAGAATAAAATTAATTATTTTCTCTTTAACTCTTTAGCATGAGCTTGTTCCCTTGAACCGACCTCATAACCTTTATGTGCTTGTTATAGTTTTCATGCTATAACTTCTAAATTAGTAAGTGTATGTTAACAAAATTTGGCAGATTATCAGTAAACATTACAATGCTTTCATACACAAAAAAAAAAAATTTTCTTAAGTCTCAAGACCCAAGTATTGACCCAATTATAGGGTGATCTCGAATATAAGGCCACCCCCATTTTCAGAAACCATGGAAAAATATAATTGAATGTCATAAAGTCTTTTTTTTTTAGGTCTGCAAAATCAATACTATAACTGAACAGCCTGCAGGTGAATTAGTTGCAAGAATTAGCGATGACCTTGGGTGAACATCTGGCTCGCATGCTTAAACAGATGCTATCTGGACATTCAAAAATGCAACAGGCTAGAGTAGGAGGAAAGGGCCTGTGGTCGGCCATGATTATAAGGTGACTATGAATTTTACAGCCTGATTATTAATCACAAAATATCGCCTTATAATCGGGCCAGTATGGTATTACTTAAAACAAATATAAATTTAATTACCAAGACTAGGGGAACACAATACAAAGAAATGTAAAAACACTTACACTGGGTACATCTAGAGCTTCAAGCTCTTTAACAGTGCTCACAATCTCATCTGAAATGAATAATAAGTTTAAATTAATCAAAACTCAAAACAAAAATTTAATATAAATAAATGAAATTTAGAATACTTTTTTTTAAATCTTTATACAGAAATTCTCTTCCTCATTTCAAATCAAAGCAAGTGATGAATCTTAATGTACATTACCCTAGAAAATTATAAAATAATTTTTTATAGAGATAGTTATATTATTTGGAATTATTTTTCTAGGAAATGTTTTTGATAAAAAAATTATTCAAATTCAAATTTATTTTTTGCCTGTCATTACTATAACAACATAAAAATATACCTTTAAATTTAAGAATTACTTGCATTAAAATGTATTAATTTTTAAATATAAATACTTCCTAAAATAACAAAAATACTAACTGCTGAAGTAATTCAATGAAGATACGTGTGAATGAAGAGATGTACAGGTCACCATTTTCTTTACAACCTTCTGCATTCTTTTAAACAACTTAGGACAATCCTTAAGTGGAATTTCCAATTCAGGGTCAAGTAGAATACCCTATAGATATACATCCATTAACTTCAGAAGAAACAGAAATATTTCATAAATATTCTTAAATTTGTTTCTAAGTATAAATTAAAAATACCAGAGTTAAAATTCGAAAATATGTATTTTATGTTGCTTGAAAGTATTAGAATAATTCAGGAAATGTTATCTCCTTTGCTTTCATTTGAGTGTACTTAAAAGTAATTAAACAATTTTATACTAATATTGCTTGTAAGTTCTGCAAAGTAATATTTTTAAAACATTACACTACTTAAAACAGTCCAAAACAATGGTAAAAAACAACTCATTAAAGATATGGTATTTAACGTTTTCGACACAAGTGACACCTTATATGCTTAAAGGTTAAATGTCAGACTCCTAGAGTCTACTAAGGTCCAGATATAGTCAGCCCTAATTCTTAACTACTGATCAAAGGGAAGGCAACCAGACAACAGTATCTGCTGCCACTGGGACATTATCACTCATATAAAGCACCAAAAAATGAAAGTGTAGAGCATGTTCAGCTGTACCATGGCATGAACTATGAACTTTCTCATTACTCAGTAGTAAATTGACTGGTATCTATATTATGAACAACTAATGAATTTTTAATGTACAGAGTAACAATAGTATAAACCAACAGTAATCTTACAGATAATATAACACAAAAATATATAAGTTCAAAAAGAAGTTAAGTAAGATGATTTCTTACCTCATTTGCTGTTATGTAGTGAGTTGAATCTATTTTAAAAATCCAAACTCCCATTTCAGAAGTTGTATCCAAGTTCACATCCTTACATGGCTCAAAGACGGGCTTCACTGGTTGGTTCAGTTCTTTCTGAAAACATTATTAAAAAAAATTCAATTATTTGTAAAAGAAAAAAGCAGAATTATAAAAGAAACTTAAGTGATTCCACATAAAAGCATTTATTCCATTTGGCAAATAATACCAAAATATTTAGCCTCTTGGAGTATTGTTATTATTATTATTACTTGTTTTAGAAAATTCTACATTACAAAGGTTATTTTCATGCATCTACAGCACACCAATAACATAATTATTTGTTATGAGTACTGTAGAAAATAAAGTATTCAAGGTATAGCACAATATATTAAAATTAACCATTATGTAAAATGCTAGAAAATGAACAAATGTTTCTAAAATAATTTTCAATTTTAGCAAGTTTACTAATATTAGCATACGATATCACATTTTTATAACAAGCAACTCAAAAAATATCATGAAACATCAAATTAATAAAAACTTTAAGAACAGAGAATCGGTTATACACAATTACAGAAAGAATCAATTCACAAACATCTTATAATAATCAGAACTTTATTGGTAAAAAACAACTTGAAAACATGATTAATTTATCTATTCCTAAAATCTAACTCAAACCTGATATCTGTTAAAAGTAGATAAAATATTCTAAACTACCTACAGGTGGATTTTCATGAACTTTGACTTAGAATTTTCTCAAATTCATTTTTGATGATATGTATCAAAAACTAATAAATTTAATGTTCTTTCCTAGGTCAAAGGAACTCTGAACTAATATAAAAATTTTCACTTTAAACAGCTATTTGTTGACAGTGTATGTGTCTAAGTAGATGGCAGATATGCTATCAAATTAACTGACATAACAAAAACACAAGAAAATAATTAACATTTTGGCTATTTATACATGAGAAATATTTGTTAAATTTATGTAAAGAATGTCTTGTTACATCTAATTGCTTCATCTGTTTGTGAACCATTCGATGTGACTTCTCAATTGTCTGACGAACAGCCCAAAAGTTGATGTCATTCCAACGAGTAATCTTGACAAATTCCTACAAATAAAATCCACAAGTTCACTTAAAGTTTCATTACACAGAATTTGAGTCATCATTAAAATTAAATGGAGTGGTTGCTTTGGTTGGTTCATGAGCTTGAACTTATATTCAGCAATCTGCATGATAATAGCAAATGTTTGTGTCAAAATGTCAATCACAAACCAATTCTATGAAAGTTAACTTCAACTAAAAATATAATATTGAAAAATTCCATAAATGTTTGATGGAAAAAGTAGATCTTCAACAATTCTTATGAACTAATAATTTCAAAACGTTAAAAACGATGTAATTTTCTGGAAATATTCTTGTAAACTTTTGTCCTACTCATAAATTCCTAGATGCTTTCAATAAAAGCAATAACAAGTTTATTACAGTAGATAACAGAAACACTTTTAATGTAAAACTACCATTTTGGGTTAATGTTTTATTACTTCATTGATAAAGTTTAGATCTTGTTAAATGTGAAATTTTGAATTGAATTATTTATTCAACAGAGATGATCAGAGAAATGCAAGGTATATAGCAAAAATTTATTCTAAGGCTCATAAAGAGGCAAAACAAAATTGGGATACACTACTTGTTTTCTAGGTGACCTAATTATCTTAACAGCAAAAGAAAAATACAATTACCAAAGGAAATAGAAAAAGAAGTTCAAAGTTTCTGACAAAAGAGAAGACAAGAAATTTATATTTTTTAAATTTGACAAAACACAAAAACAATTTGATACTGTTTACAAATTAATTTCATAAATGTTTTTACAGTTTTCTATTGTTATTTAATGTTTTTATTTTCTAAAAACAAAATCTTGTATATATAACCACAACACAGAAATGTTTGCATCATGTTTTTGTAACAAATAGATATCTATGCATGCTGAGTTAACACATAGAAAAAATAGAAATTATTAATCTCGCTTTTAAGATTTTCCAATATAATTTCAATATTAAAATTCATAGTAAACTGTAACACTATCCCAAGAAAGAATTTTCAAATGAATTTGTCAGAAAAGTCCAAATTAAATGTCGTTTTGCAGTATATTTATTTGAAAAAAAAAATTAATTTTTGTTCCTTCTCAAAAGTTAAGTGATGGGAACAGGCAAAGGAAAAAGTCTGAAATATTAAAGTCCAATGCTGTACACTAAAAGAAAGTTGAAGATCTTTATTGCATTATTTTGTTATTTTTTCATATATACAGTTCACAGATACAATGACCTAAAATTTTACAGTAAATCTGGACAAAATTTCTTTGCCACGTGACAGTTCTATGTACTTTTTTAATATTTCCATGTACTGAAATTGTAAAGGAACCTTGAGAAGCATAGTTTATAAGTTCTTTTGCATATTGTACAGAGCTTTTTCTGACAAATCAAACTTGGTAATAAATTTCCTCAGTTTTGAATTTACTGCTTAGTTAACTCCAAGAACTTCTCTACCTCTTACTTCATCATGTCACGCGATAACCTTTAGCATTTTGAAAATCTATTTTATCTTTCAATTAAACTTCTGTGGAAATTTTCAGTGAATATTTTGCAAGACAAAAATGTTTCCCACAAACATAACATTTTGTAATAGTAGAAAAACATATTAACCCTATCACCACAGGTATCCTTCACTACACATAACACAAGGTTTTAATGTCTTACATTAAAAATTTTATTAAACTACACTTATGTTAGACAAATTAGAATAGCATAAAATCTTAGCTAATAATCCATATTTTAATAGTACATAAATTTTAAGTTCTTAATTCTACAAGACACACACACACTAAAATTTGTTTTTTAAAAGAGAAATTGTTGTAACCTCCCAAACCAACCAAGAAGACATATCAAATTATAGCATCATTACTGTGATCTAAACCACTCCTAGCCAGATTTAAAATCCACCATGTTTTTTTATTATTATTACTATTTTTTTCATGATACAAATAGTGCATGAGTGGGGTGAAGAGATAATGTTTCTGAAAAACTCTGATTGCTTTTGACCCTTGGTCGAAATTGATTATGTAAAGATAATTTGGCCTAAGGTTAAGAGTTTTAAATCGAAATAATTGCTAAGGTGAGCTAATCTTCTACAACGCAAGATTAAAAAAAAATCCTGAATTTTTCCTAGTGTAACCCACGTGACACATTTTCTCTCAGCATGTCATCTTCCCTATTTTACCCACCACTCCTCGAAAAAGTATGAAATTAAACAAATTACTCTTTAGTTGTTTGTTTGGTGTTTTATGATGCAAAGCAACGAGGCTATGTGCGCCAAACAACTGGTAAAAACAGTGAAAGTAAATAAAAGTAAAATGTAAAAATACAGCGAGTTAAAACCAAAATATGTACAAAATTCGGATAAAAGATTTATATCCAATTGTTCATAAAACATTAAAAATACAATCAAGTCGGACAGTGTCACCATCACCAATGACACTGTTCAATGTCAAGGGTAAAATCTTACAAAACACGTGTCTAAAATGGTGCCACCGGTCACGGTCGTAACAACGGCATGACAGTAAAATTGTGACTTGAGTGTCATAAAAGCTACACATTGGTGGGTCAATACCAGATAAAAGAAAATGATGAGTTAACAAACTGTGACCAATGCATAGTCTTGCCAGGACAACTTCCTCCTTCTGATCCTGACAGAAGCAAGACAGCCAAAGAGCAGCAGAAGGTTTGATCTGAAAAAGCTTGTTATGACGTTGCTCACCCCAAGTCAACTGATAACTGGCACAAAACCATGCCTTGAAAACAGGATCGTATTCCACGTACAAGACAGGCATGGCTGTGATGGCACCAGAGCAGACGGACTTAGCTGCCGTGTCAGCGAGCCCATTCTCGTGAATACTGACGTGGCCAGGTATCCAAAAAAACTGGATGGAAACAGCAGATAGAGAAAAATGGGTCAGTCGTTGTTGAATATCGACGAGAACAGGATGCGAATTAACGTTAAGCGATTCCAGGGCCAGTAGAGAGCTAAGAGAATCAGTGTAAATTGTGCAATCACTGTACTGCATAGCTTCTACATAATCCAGAGTAACAGAAATAGCATACAACTTGGCAGTGAACACAGAAACTGCAGAGGGGATCCTGCGAGCCTACAGAGTCACCCAATTTTGAACCATCCATGTAAATAAGAAGAGAAGAATGGCTCAAAAGATGTTCAGCAAAAAGAAGACGATACTTCCTCAAATGACTCATGGAAAGGTCACAGGAAGGGATGGTAATAAGCCATGGCAGAATGGGCTGATAATTGTGGACAGCAATGTCATCCAATGTCAGACCCAATTGAGCCCAGTTGTTTGTGCCCGGATATGAAGGCCAAAGGGAGGCATTGCAGACCATCTGTTCTGAAAGAGCATGGCCCACTGAGGAAAAAAGACACAATCCCTGGTATGTTGTTGTGGTAAGGATCGAAAATTGGTAGCATATTGTAAAGAAAGTTGCAAACGACAGAGGTAAAGAGGAGGTTCGTGGGACTCAGTGTACAAACTCTGGACTGGAGAAGTGCGAAAAGCCCCGGTGTAGAGCCGAAGCCCCAGATGGTGAATTGGGGTCCAGCATCGTCAAGGCCAAGGTTCTGGTAGAACCATAGACCAAAGACCCATAGTCCAGTTTGGATCGATTCAGGGCATGATAGATCCTGAGCATAGAACATCGATCCGCTCTCCAAGAGCTGGAAGAGAGGACACGGAGAATGTTCAGAGCCCTTGCACACTTGACACGTAGCTGCTTGATGTGTGGAATGATGCTAAGCTTATGGTCAAAGATAAGCCCCAAGAACTTTACCTCAGGGACCACACGATTAACTATATAACTGAGACGGAGCTCAGGATCGGGGTTGAAACCCCGTTGATGGCAAAAATGCAAACGGTTTTGGAAAAAGAAAATGTAAAACCCTTTGCAGGGGACCACGTCAACAAGCGACTGAGGGCAGTCTGAAGCTGCCACTCAATAAACCTCATGTTCGATGACTGACGTGAGATGTGGAAGCCGTTGACATAGAGCCCATTTGCAACAGTCGAAGGAAGAGCAGTAGTGATATAGCATTAATTTTAACACTAAAAAGTGTGACACTCAAGACACAGCCCTGCGGGATTCCAAATTCCTGTGGAAATGAACGGGAAAGAGTTGAACCTACATGGACTTGGAATTACCTGTTCAGTAAAAAGTTCTGAATAAAAATGGGTAAATGGCCATGGAACCCATAGGAGTAGAGCTCCTGCAAAATGCCATACCTTCACATAGTGTCATAAGCCTTTTCGAGATCAAAGAACACAGAAACAGGCTTCCCTGATCAACGTTTCAAGTTGAATCAGATGGTCCATGGTGGAGCGCTGTCAACGGAACCCACACTGGGTGGGCGAGAGGAGCATGTTTGATTTGAAGAACTAAACAAGACGAGCATTAACTATCTTCTCTAAGACCTTACAAAGACAATTAGTCAAAGCGATGGAATGATAATTAGAAGGAATCTTGGGATCCTTCCCAGAAAGGGAGGACAATAGCCTGGCATCAAGCATCAGAAAAAACATGCTCCTGCCAGAAGAATAGCAAGAGAGGCAGGAGAGAGATGGCGCAGCATCTCATAATGAACATCATCAGGTCTACTGATGTACTACCATACCAATGAAGAGCAAGTTTGAGTTCCACCAGTGTAAAGGGGCGATTATAATCATAGAGACGATCAGCCCAAAAGGAAAAGAGATGATCACTCTTTGATCACCCAAGACTTGATGGCCAAGATTCCCATGTGTCTCTCTTTACAGGAAACATTTCTGAAACTTGCTGATACAGTCATCTTTCAGCAGTTTTCTTTGTACTGGAATGACAGGTTGTGTGATGGAGGGGTGGCACTGCTGGTCGACCAGCATGTGCCCTCCTTATCTTGCTGCTCTCATTGACCAGTTACCATCTCCCTTTTTACTTCTGGGAGACTTTAATGGACACCACTCTGAGGTGGTGCTGATACTGATGGCAGGGCTCGTTCCGTAGAGCATATGCTCTCGGATCACAACCTTTCTCTCTTCAATACTGGAGCATATACTTACTTTCATGCACCTAGTCAGTCAGGGTTGAGGATATAGGGCCGTACCTTACAATTCAAATAACTGGAGAAACCAGCAAGGATCTCAGACTCTGGGATAGACTTTAAGTTCCTCTCGACAATAACTCCCCATGAGGAATTCAAAGAAGCGTGTGGAGTAACCTATCCCAAAATGCCTTTGAAATCAAGAGGAGTTCACTGTGCTTTGCTGTAGATGCTTCAACACAGATGTATTCAGAACGGAGCTTCTTAACTGAATTTGAAGAGCCAGCAAGCCCCTCTTACCTCTTCTGTATAAAAAAGGGAGACATTTGCCCTAAAGATTTATCAGACAGTGAATGTAGGATCAGGAAGCGAGGTACAGGTCTACATTGTGGTGGAGACTGCTGTTCAGTCTTCTGGGCATGGTCGTTTGCCAATTAGAAGAGTTTTTACCATTTTTTATTTGGATTTGGGGGATCCATAATAAAGGAGAAATATTTAGTGCCCACTGACCCCACCCGCCATGGAGTCCTACGAGGTGATGCACTACAATGTCAAACAAGGACACTGCAGCATCACCAGGGTTTCATGAGCACTATACCCTAACACCAGCATCAGACACAATATCCACAACACACGTTGAGAATACCTAACATTGGTACTCAGTTGACCCTAGCCCAATGGGACCAGCCGATTGACCCTGGGGAGGGGCACCCCAAGGACACCCACTAACATGAATTCAAGGCCAAAGTGGTGTGTTGCAGTACCCAACCCAGACACCACTCAACCACCAGGATCCTCTCCTCCCCTTCACGGGTCGCTATGCAAGGCAAACACGTGGGTACATGTTTAGATCCCAGAGTAAGTAACTGAAAATACAGAACCTTCTGTGGGAGGTCCCCTCATCACGTCGAGGGAAATTACACTCTACAAAATCGTCATTGCTCAGACAAACCATAATTCTTTATAGTCTTCAATTTTTTTTGGTTACAGGGCTATTGAATAGATAATCAGACCCCTCCTGCCACACCTGCCTGTCACATCCTCTATTTCAGAATTCGTTAATAGTTCTCTCTTATGTTTAATTATATATTACTTATAACCAATAGAAAGTCAAGGTTTACATCTATCAAATGATTTATTGTGTAACGTTATGTTCTGAATGATTAAATGTCAATTTCACTTAGAGTACCAACATCGTTCCCATGAGAAACTTAATGACTAGCCTAGATGAATTTGTTACGACTCTTGTCACACAGTTAGAAAGCCAGAACAATTTTGAGAGGTAAGCGAATTTGTCTATTTTTTGCATATTATCAGTCTATAGTATTGGTGAATTATTTAATTAAATAAAACTTATTAAGTGTATTACAATCATTAGTATAAAAAATTAGGGTTAACTCTCTTCGACAAACGACAGCAAGGAAAAAATAAAATTGGTTAAGTATTTTATTTCTTGTTTTTCATTGTTTATTTC